CACCACTTGTTGTCCTGCCACGTTGAAGATTACAATTATGACATTAAAACAATATTTGCACAGAGATGCATGTGACAAAGACCTGAATGATAGTATAGCTCAAAAATCACAGAATGTATTTAAAAAAAAAAAACAGCATCATAAGATTTAAAATCGGGTTTAAAATCTGAATGCTGTTCAAAAATAATGCATCAATGAGGCTCCGTGTCAGACGGCCTTTCATTTTCGAGGGTGAACGCTGATTGAACTTCCAGTCTCGTCAAGGGAGGGTATTGATTTACTTTTTTTCCCCCATTCACTTTGAATCATTGCATCCTTTAGAGCAAAATCCAATCTCAGTTAACCATTTAAGTGTCTACACTCCTCAGAAAGATTTAACATGTTCCTGTCATGGGATTATATGATTTAAATGTCTTATTCACAAAAGATCAAACAGGATTCGATCCTACGAGAGTAATTCTTGAATATCTACATTCAAAATCTTTGAGACTTTTTTTTTAAGACGGACTCTAAGAGAGCATTGAGATGAACATTACTCTGAATCTCATCTGGTCGGTCAGGCTAAATGTCCCCTCCCTTGCTGTTGACCAGCATTTGCTCCTCGGAGGCCTCACTCTGGCAAACTCATCCATCATTCGGACTGCACTTCCCAACGATGGAGTGTGTGGAAAACCCTCGTTGAGGGAATTAACTTTGTTATGTCCGGAGACCATAAATCTCTTGCGATCGCTTCCAACCTTTCTCAGGTAAGATCAGGTAAACTCAACATCTCACATTTGTCTACATTTGGAACAGAGAAATACATCAAAATACAGCACAGTGGTTAAATACATGGAATAGAAGTTTTGGGGGCGCTCACAACAAAAAAGGGCAAAATCTCTGCACGTACTGTATGAGAATAGTGTGGAATCGTTTTCCTCATAGGTATTGTTTATAGGTTGTTTTACTTTGAATTTGTATTTGCATTTCAGAGTGTAATAACGTTGTGTTTTTATTCATAACATCTTGAGTTTCTTTGTTAGTTCTGTACATCCTTCAGCATGAAGTATGCTAGTGTTCGACCTTGGCTCTCCTCTCCTCCCCTGATGAGATGGAAAGAGTTACTGCGCTGTGTATTCACAGCCATTCCAATTTGTGTATTGATTGTTGTTTAACTCCATAGGTAAAGATCAAAGGCTAATCTTTTCTACTGAATGTTTGACTAGGCATTTTTTTTCCAGGCTGCAGTACGTGACACGCCTCCTGTATCACCTGGCTGGCGACATGACATAGTCTAGACGTGCTTTAGATGCAACACCCTACATAGCAACATGTTGCCCTTCAGAGAAACACAAACACATGCCATAAGCTTATAAAATGTTGATGTGCAAAGGCATGCTTCCGGCAGTTACTGATGCTAATTGGCAGCGGAAGCGCGTGTGCGTACTGTACAGTGCTTGACTGCGTTCCTCCCGACGGCATGCTCAAACAGCCATAAAACATGGCAAAGTGTGACTTGGCATAATCGAGGCGTCTATTTATAACGCCGCCGTTTGGACATGGTATATTTTATTCATATGTAGGCTGGCAAAAGGGAGCGAGCTGACTCAATCGCCCGCAAGTTTTGTTTTGTGGAGAAAGGAGGTGGAGGAGGAGGGATTTCATAAACAGGTCATTGTTTCTTTGCAGATGGCAACAACAAAGAAAGGTCATATCCTGCTGGAATGCCTCAAAGGACGGCATTCTAATTTATATTGCGCACTCACGTAATACACTAGACAGAGCAAGTATTTTTGGCAATGTCATACATTTTACACCATAAATCTGTTGGATATGTGATATTATTCACTGTTGTCCTTCCTTCCACCTTTCTTTTGTTCATCAAAGCCATGCATTAGACCAGAAATCCAGAGATCAAATATTTACCAAGCTTTCAAGCCAACATGGCCAGGCAACAATGAAACTCATATTGTTCAATTGGCAATTAAAAAAACAAACCCAAACAAACAAACAAAAAGACCTCATTCTTACTCGCTGCTGCACCAGTTATCTTTAGTGCACATGGAATATTTATGGTGCAGGTTGCTGGGGGTGTGTGTGTGGGGGGGTGAGGTGGGGGTAAGTCATTGATCTCGTAGGTGGCTTAGCGGGCCCTGGGAGGGCCACGTGGGATGAAGTCACATGGGACATATTGCTTCTTCTTCAGCGTCCATTAAACAAAGCATGATGCATTGTGCTTGAATGCAAACACATGAAGCAGGAGTGGTACCACAATTAGAGAAATGGTTGCAGGCGCGATCACCAAAACCACATTATAGCTCAGCATATACTGTATGTAAATGTTAGCCGGCATCTAAAAATAGATGTCAGTCCTTGCACTCACCAAGCGCACAAGCTGCAGGGAATAGGCACTGCTGCACAGGAACAAAACACATCTCTTGTCAAAAGAATGATAATAGAGTAAAGGGAAATGTTTTGCATCTAACGAGCAGGATCGGATTTTATTTAACTCTGATGGGTCGGTGAGAGGGAGGATTTGTATCTGAGGATGCCCTGAATGTTAATTGTGTTATCCGATATTGAAGCCAGCACTCTTATTGCTTGAGGACAATTAGAGGTGATGTTAAAGAGGGCGTGACGATGGATTTTTTTTTTTTTTTTTTTTTTTTTTTTTTTAATATACTGTATATTAATAGCTCTTAAGATATTGCTTCAAGGACAGAATGATTCCATTCACTCTACAAAGAGACTTGGTCTCAGTGCATTTTAACCATTTCATGCAGCCTGTAACCCACAGGTGTCAAAGTCAAGGCCCGGGGGCCAGATCTGGCCCACCACATCATTTTATGTGGTCCGCAAAAGCAAATCAAGAATGTCAAGTTCCATCATGCTTGCTAAAGTCTGAACCAAAATTTGAAATTGTCATATGTAATCCACAATAACAGTCATTATTCTTGACTTCTGATTTTAAAACTAGTTATTCATCAATTTGTGCTGTGTATGTAATATGTGGAGGGGATTAAACCTGTATATGGGTTCCCAAAATTCATAACGGCCCTCCAAGGGAAACCGTAACTACAATGTGGCCCGTGACAAAAATGAGTTTGACATCTCTGCATATCATGTAACCTGATAACATGATATGCTGTCCACTGTTGTGACCGCTGTCCCCGAAAGGGTTAAATATGCATTTTAGAACGTGTAGAGCCGTGGCTTACGCTTAAACTCTTAAAATGGGCTAAAGCTGCGCTGACTTTGTTTTTATGTGTTAGCATTTGAGAGAAAATAATAACCCAAGACTAGAAAGTGAGCAACTGACACACATACATACAGTATACCGTATATTGCTTTAATGATAAGCAGAGAATTTCAAAGTAGCACAATAAAAGGATGTAACAGAGGAAAACTTCACTTGGACTGCAAAAGCTTTTAAGAAAGTGTCCAGTAATACATTTTCAAAAGATGAGGGTAAACTTTCTGAGCAATTGTTGTGGCCACAAAGCTGTTCCTGGACTGAATATGTGAGATAAGTGCTTTGAAGCCCAAACAAATTGAAACAAAAGAACATAAGGTGGAGATTGGTTCAGTAAGCAAGAAAGGGGGAGGAAGCACTGCTGGCATCCAAGGGCATCATAAACCTCAGCATCTGTCTGTGCAACAATGCAGAAAGAGGACACACTGGGAATCGATTTCACACAAAGAGTGCACTACTTGGAAAGACACTCTCAAATACTGCATCTTGTGTTATTGGATTTGGAACCCAATTTTATGAGCAGTATCTATTACATTCAAGACAAGCAAGGAGGATCCAGTCGAATGAAGCGCCAGCCCCCAAAACTCGTGGCCAAGTGAGGAGAAAAGATTGTCCTGTATTTTTTTTTACCTTACTTAATTACCGATGCTTGAAAATAATGACAAAAACCACACATGTAAAAATGTTACATTTCAGTGCTATTCCATCCCCAAAAAAAGCAAGTGCTAAAATAAAAGTGCTAGTTTTGAAAAGCTGTTAACCAGCATGTGAAAAAAATAAATACCACATTTGTTTTTCTACAACACCTTCATATTTAATCATGAACAAGAAATGGAAACATTGCTAAGATGAGGCAGAAAAGCGTGAAGTTAACAGACCCCATGGTGAGCACGTCTGCCTCACAGTCTACAGGTGTAGGGTTTGATTCTGGCTCCAGTTTTTGCATGTTTTCTCTGGTACGCCAGTCTCCTCCCACATTCGTAAAACATGCATGGCAGGTTAATGGAACACCATGTATGCCCTGCAATGGGCTGGCAACCAGTTCAGGGTGTACCCCGCCTATTGCCTGCAGACTGCTGGGATAGGCTCCAGCACGTCTGTGACCCTTGTAAGAATAAAGTGGTTCAGATAATGGATCCATCCGTCCATCTATTTTCCAATCCGCTTATCCTATCCTTATCCAACCTGAACTGGTTGCCAGTCAATCGCAGGGAACACACAGAAGAACAACAATTCACACTCACAATCATACCAATGGACACATTCGAGTGTTCCATTGCCATTCGTGTTTTTCAAATGTGGGATTAAACCGGAGTACCCGGAGAAAAACCCACACAGGCATGGGGAGATCATGCGAACGGCACACTGTGGTTGTGGTTGTGCTAACCAGTTGGGCACCGTGCCACCTAACCAAATTATCTCACAAACCCAATAAAATGGATTTAAAGATTATTAAAATAAAATATAAAATATGTGTGTGTCATTGAACCTCCAAATAATTATTAAATTACTATTTTTTTCCTCAGTCGCTGCTCATTTCTCAGATCAGAATTGAATTTCTAGCTACGCCCCTGCAGACAGCACAGTTTTTTTGTTGAATCTTTTAGAAATGGGGATGCTTTTGAATGATGGGAAAATAAACATGCAAGGTACAGCATTCATCGAATCAATCACTGTTGATTGCAGCCACTTTTTTTTCAGTCATTCTATTACATTCAAGACATGTGACTGTGCTGACACGCCCCCTTGCGGCGCGTGTCTGCCACGCTCTTGTTGGGACAAATTCGCTGCGCGGGCAGGAGCGTAGCAGAGCGTCACCGGAGGAATGTCAATGTGATAATTGTTGATGCATCTTGGACTCAGTGCGACTCTCGGATGCTTCATCTGACTATTCGTCCCTCCAACCTTGCACATCCGACTGACCATGACCACTGCTGTGGAAAGCGGCAAGCAGCCTTGCATCGGGCTCGAGCCCCTTGACGGCAAAAACACCCTCCTGCCGGGCAAAACGACGCCGAGCGGGGGCACGGGTCGCGGCCCCTTCACGAACGGCGGCCCCAAAGTGACTGACAACGGAGTGCACGACATCGAGGACCGCATCTTGAGGATCACCGGCTACTACGGCTACAACCCGGGCTACTCCAGTCACAGAAGTAAGTGCCACCACACAAAACTAAGTGCACTAACAGATGCAACGATATATTGGGGAATAAAAAGACGAATGGATGGATGGATATACTTTATCATACTACTGTATATTGTTTAAATGCTACGTTATTCCATACTATAGCCTACTATACTGTAGTGTACTTTATACTACAGTAGTAGTACAGTATAGTATAGTGTAGTATAATACTACACTATACTATACTATAAACAGCCTAATCATCATTATTTTACTCACCTTCTGAAATAGGAAATCATGTGCCTCAATAAATAATGGGGTATTAGATAGATAGATAGATAGATGCAGTATGAAAGAAAGCAAACAGTTAATGTACCGTACTACTCATTTTAGAAAGGAAGACAGCACTATAGTTAGATTCACCTTTCTGTACTGCCGACACGATATGCCGTACTATAATGATTTGTATTAGAAAGAAAATGAACAAAATGTCACTGACTGCACCTTCCTATACTGTATATTAATTACCGAAAGAAATGGAAGAATACATATTCATTCATTAGCTAACAGCCAACTATGATGCTTTCAATACTGTTACTGTTTACAGTACTGTATGTTAGAAAGAAAGGGAAACACATTGCTATATTGTTTTCTATACTGTAATATACCATACTATACCATACTGTGCTGTACTATACTATACTTTCGACACTACACTACGGTGCCTGCTATATGTAGCTCAGATCAATCACCAATGTCACCACTGATAGCTGCTTCGGCATGCATGTTTTATTTAAAATGATTCAGTGTCCAAATGGAGGCGAGGCTCTCTGATGATGCATAGGAATGCTTCACATCCCTGATTTGTCCACATTTTTGATTGGGGCACACCAGTGGCAAGGTGGGAACGTTTGCTGACAGAGACAGAAAGCCGAGGATTGATTGTGGGTAAATATAAAATGCATTTTGTTTTTGGAGTGATCTTTAAAAGGTTGATTTTGGTTGTTAGTGAGATTTTAGCAGGCAGTGGGGCTTCGTGCAAATACTGGTATGCAGATGACAATGCTGAGAAGGAGTGCAGAATGCTTTTTACCTTGCACCACTGGTTGTCTATTGCCTTTATTACGGATGAGGAGGCGTGTTTCAGAACCTGAAATGCTTCACCCCACTTGAACCAAAGGATTGAGACTTTGCACGCAAGCTCCCAAACATCTCGCTCTGGCTATTACATAAAACCTCAACGACACATGATTTAAACATCGACAAGTCAGTCCTGCACTCCCAATTTTGGGAAGTTACACATTTTGGAGTTGCGTTGGTCCAAGGAAATGCAAAGATGCAAATTCAATTAAGAAAATGTTCAAGCTAAGGGTCCTTAAGTTGCTTCTCATCACCACAATAGATTTTCAGATTGCAGGCAAGATAAAGGAAATGAGCCTCACGCTCATTAACTGTGTCCTGTCTGTTGCAGTCGTCTAATCATGGATGCAATCACGCACTCTCATTTGGAGGCATATCGAGCTGTCCAGGTTGATCCCACGAGAGGGAGCTCTCTTATTAATGAGCAGCAACCCAAACTTTAGATTGGAAAACAGACACAACTCCCAAACAATTCCAATCAGGAAGATGCTGTTCGTGTGCAAACAATGCAGTGAGTCGTGAGAGATCGTCAGGGGGGCTGCAGAAAATTATCCATTTATCTAAAAATTATTTATTTACAACAAATAATACATTTTTGCTCAACGATCTAGGTCAGTGACATGCAGCCCGATGCCATAAATTAAGTGTATGTATCCGTTTTTGGGTGATATTTTTGTTTAGTGGTGGAGCGTCCGCGCTTCACTAATGTGTCTTTAAATGGGCTCAATAAAAATTGGGAAACAGCAGTATAAAACATGAGCACATGTTTCAAAAGTTGCAGAAACTTGGAAATGCATCCTGTACTGCATCATAATTACACAAAAACCTGTGCAATGATAAATACCTGACTTGTTCTTTTACTATATCCACCATTATCAAAGGGTGAAAACAAATTCTTATGTGTTCCCCATCTTCCATAATGAATCCTTTTATGCACCGATAATGATAACCTGTAACCTGATAACATGATAAACTGTCCACTGTAGTGGCCGCTGTCCCTGAAAGGGTTAGTGTGGCACCACCTCTTTTAAGTTGAACTCCCACCTTTGACTCTCCCCTTTTTCTCTCAATATTCGTCGTGAGGTCAGCATTTTTAGAGCTGGAGAAATGCTTGTTTTCATTTACAAGTACTTCAATACATCGCTGTACCATATAATTTGTGTTAGGGGTGCGCTGTATCAATATAATTGACGAAGAGGACATTGTTTTATGCTCTTTTCGTCAGGCGTTTTGTGTTAGTGTGACCTTTTTCTCTTGATGTCTACGGGGGAAGGAGTACGCCGTATCAATATAATTGACGAGGAGGGCATTGTTTTCTGCTCTTTTCTCCAGGCTTTGTTATTGAGACCATTAAACAAACGCAACCAACACAAGAAATCCTGCTGTGCCTCATCAATATTCTAAAACACAACGCCGTTGGACACCGCCGGTTACACTCTCCAACGTACTGTATTTATGCTGTACTATCATCGAGCAAGGACTCACATGTTAAATACGTAACCGAAAAGCCACCGTGAAGTGCAATCAACGCAATTGCCATTTGTTGTTTAATCACACATTTTCCAAGTCTAAATGAAATATTTCATCCTTTGTGTCACTTTAAAGGCGGACCATATTATATATGAAGTGCAGCGGAGTCAAGCAGTGTTATTCACATACGCGCCGTCTTGCGTTGCATCGTGTAACCGAGGAAGGTGAATGATGGGATGTCGACTGCGCTGTAATTTCAGGCCTAAGGAGCAGATGTGCACCATAATAACACCCGTTCCAAGCCTACAACAGACCACGCGTCTGCAAGCTGAGGGCTTTATTTGATTTGGGAAACATTTCCAAATTTTCCAATAAGATATGCCATCTGTGCATTCCCCGCCTATTCATCAAGTTGTCGTTTTAGTCAACAGAAGGTATTCCTCAGGGCGTAGTATTTGTATAGTTATTAAACATGCTGTCACGGTTATAGTGAGAAGCAGTCGGCATTAATTAATCATCTACTGTACAGGCACAAAATGGATTTCGTGAAAAGTGACTTTTTGGAGTGCAAATGAGTATTGCTTATCACAGTGTCAACGAGGATCAGTTCCTACAGACAAAGCGTCATATAAATGGAACACTGGGGCTTATCCCGTCTCGCTTATGGTGTAATGATATATTAAGTAAGCTCCTGTTGGCACTTTGTTGTTATCGCCACTTGCCATCTGCGTAGAGCTCGAATTTGTCTCTGAGGGGCTTGTGTACTACATTTTGTGACAAGGTCTTGGCTGTAATACATCATACCGTAATGGTGTTTTCAGGCAAAGTCATTGCAGCTTTTAATAAGAAAGTAGATAATATCCCAAACTAGGTGCTTATTCCCACTGTCATTGTTTGGCTCCTGCTGTTCCACATGACAATAGCATGCAGTAAATGCCTCTTCAGCATCTCTTGGAAAGCCATTAAAGTGATTTGCTTTGTATCAGGTTTTACAGGGCTAAATTAACAAAGGAGGGCCAACACAGTAGCGAAGGCACACTCCCTGCTGGCTGAACAGGCCGAACGCAGGAGAAATGACAGGTACCGCTCAGCAACGTGATTGTCCCTTCACTGCTTTCACAGCAAGGCCATCCTAATCGACTTCTAACAAAATTTGAATGAGAAACTACTTGCATCGTGTTTGAAAGTGCAGTTGAGGGGCATAGAGAAAGAAGGGGGATAATACACTCCATTTGAAAGTGCAGTTGAGGGGCATAGAGAAAGAAGGGGGGAAATAAACTATTAAATCATTCAATCTTATTTTCGGAACCAAATTTATAGACAATGTTAACAGAAATATCTATTTTTTTCCTGCGGCTATTTTCAAGTAAGCCGTTCCCATGCCTTCTCTTACAGAGCTATTTATAACAAGTCTAATGTCAAGACCGGGATGTAAGCCTTGCCTGAATGACTCCTGAAGTGCTGTTAGCCTCCGCAGTCTCCTGGGAATCTGTGAAAACACCCCGCATGCAATGGGTGCAATGTTTCACCAAGGAACCTTTAGCTGTGCGGACCTGTACTCATGATCCTGTGTATGTTGATGTACCAAATGTTGTTGTATTTCTCGCCAGGTGATTTTGGATAGTCGGCCAGCTTCAACTTCACTGTAATGAAACACTCGAATTAGATGATATAATGGCACGACAGAGTCAAGTTTAGAAATGGTCTTTCTCATTTTACAAGCAGGGGCCTGAGTACTGTGAGCTGCCAAACAATGCCCTTGTGGACTACATGAGTGCTGAGCATCGATAAACTGACCTTCAACACCCTAGAATGAAATGAGTTTATGTTTACTCTATTCATTGCAGAGTGTACATTGGCATAGAGATGAAAGTTGCATGGATGCAAGAAGACATTTGCTCACTCGCTCGCTCATAGACACAGTTCAATTGTTATGCCCAAGTTCACAAGGCATGCTCAAAAAAGCAACAATCCTTTACAATTGGTTAGATGACAAATGTATGCATTTGCAGTATTTTCACTTATGTGTCCAAACTAAGGCTCCTTTCCAAGAGTTTGGGGTCAGCACTTGGAGAAGCCTAAAATCTGAAAATGTAAAGCCTTCAGCAACTAACCTTTTGATTCATGAAAAAAATCGAATCTAAATTGTTGTGTTCTTTAGGTCGTCATATATAGGTATTTTTTTTGGGCAAAATGTTCCGTACTTAGCTTTAATTCAAACTAAAATATGGATGTATACTCTTTCTTCACTAAAGAATGATTTATTGCTTTTTATTATTTTTAACATTCACTGTAAGTTTTTATTTCTGGTCATGACCTAGTTTGAACCCTCGAGGTTCAAATTATTGCCCTTCCTCTGTGATTGTGTTTGTTTTTTTACTTCTCGTCCTCCAGCTTCTTCCCACGTTCCAAACACTC